TGTATGATACAACAAGACTGCATGGGATTTGCAAACAAGTCCACACGGGAGACATACTGAAGGGTTGACCGTCGTATGGGTGGATGTACTGACCCCAGATTTAGTTCTTAATTCTCTCAGATTGTTGCGACGTTTCTTTTTAAAGTTAGTTATACCTTGTTGGTGGGAGTTTCTACAGTTTGCTCGGTTTTCAACAGCAAGTTCGAACTCCTCTATAGGGATGTTTGCAGCATTTAAATTGTACTTGAGTTTGTCCTGGAAGCGTAGCCAAGGACGCCCAACATTGTGTTTGTGTGTGTGTGTAAAGGAAAAAAATCTAAATGAAATCGGCTAGATTATATGCAAAAACACATTTTAAAAAATCATAACTATAAAAATCCTTAAATTTAAAATTCTCAACGCCTCTCTTTTATTTGTGCACATGTGTATTCATATGAACATAAACTTTGTTCTATGAAATCCTAAAGGACAAAATACGTCACACGAAAACTTTCCCATTTCGTCCCCCTAAAATTGGTCTCGATATATAAAAATTCATATATATATATATATATATATATATATATATATATATATATATAGAGAGAGAGAGAGAGCGCTTTCTTTTCTGTCCAGAAAAGAAAGCTCTTGTTCGAACACAAGAAAAATTAAAAAAGCTTAACCGTAGTACCTTGTCTGTCGTTTTTAATGAAACATACATAAAGGAAGGATTGCTGCCTAAATATACAATATATATATATATATATATATATATATATATATATATATATATATATATATATATATATATTATATCTGAATGGTTAGAATGTTTCCATGAGATCCGGATTCGAATCTCACCATGGCCGATTTGTCAAGTAGACTTCCTGATGTTATCAGACTGGAGCTTGCTTTGGAAGGTGCCTGAAAACCATACCACGAGTTGACCCAAGCCTTGTGAGTGAAATTGGGTAGACGGAACCCTTGGGTGCCGTCGATAGCTGTGCTAGCACAAAGTCACAGGCTTGTTCAAATTGTTGATCACTATGTAACTAAGGTCTGCTCAGCATAGTTGCACTGTGGGGGTGTTGAATAAACACAAATGCGACTGAGCAAGAGTCTGCAACAGGGGTTAGCTAGCCGCCCTAGTAGACAGGTATCCTCGAATACGAGTGGTCAGCTATATACATATATTCATTCAGTTGTATGGATATGGTGGTGTATTGGATAGCAGCTCGGATTGAGAAATCGGAGAGCTGAGTTCGAATTCCACTTACGTGCTCGGGGGCGGTATGAATCCTCTTCTCCCCTCAGCTTGGATGTCAACTGGTCTTGTCTGAATTCAAAACCTCTGCCTTGTGCACCAGATCTGGTTGGTTCTGCACAAAGCCTGTACCATCATAATCAAACATTTGTGCCGGTGATTGTTGGTTTCTAGGAAATGAGTTATAGGAGAGTCCAGTATATATATATATATATAAAAAGAATGTGCTATATTTATGGGGATAAAGTGCTCAATATCAGAGATAGAGCGTGTGTAAATATAAAAGTGAACACAGAAGTCAACACTTAGAGGCGACAGTCTGTTTCATGCTAGACGCAATCGTCAGGCCACTGACGATTGCATCTAGCATGAAACGGACTGTCGCCACTAAGTGTTCACTTCTGTGTTCACTTTTATATATATATTGTGACGTAGCCCCGATTTCATTAACCATAGGCGTAAGGCTAAAAAGCACCCCAAAGTAAAATCTTAAATTCTAGTCGAAAATTAGTTAGATATAAAAGAAAAATAAATAAATAAATAAATATAGAAATTTAATCCAATGCTTTCGACTTGCGAGCGAATATGTTCCAGGATCAGCAATACCCTCCTCTTCTCTTTACAAATTCTTTCCCTCTTTATCTACTCTTCCGCCTACAAGCCAAGGGCCCGTGAACTTTGAAGTGACCCGACGCGAGAATAACTTGGTTCCAAGATTTCGCAGCTATCAGGCGTTTGACCATAAGTGAATTCAAGGCACCATCAGGATCTCCTGCTACGATTCACGTGATCAGAACATACTAAGCGTGTATTGAACTTTTGGCCATCACACAAACACTGCGTGATTTGCGCCCCATCCTCCTGCGTACCCGGTCAAGGACGAAGGGAACCCACGTGACTGTCTTTGGGGACAGCAAAAAAAAAGGATTTTCAGTTTTCCTCTGACCAGCGGCAGTGGAACGTCGCTGGGCAACTCGTCCCACTGAGATGAAGAAGACAGCAAAGCCTGTCGACTAGGGACGAAACTGAATTAACCCAACCAAATGCCTGTACGAGATGCTGTGGACCATCGAACACTTGTGAAAAGAAAAGAAATCCAGGAAAATTGCCGGCCGGCCAAAATATTGTTTTAGCATCAGAACTCTCGCTTCGGCGAATCAGAACTTTGTGTGAAAATATCAACTAAACTGAAAGATAAGTTGATTCTCTTGGTTTGATCTGTTTTTATATATGTATGTATTCGCTCCCCCCTCTGTTCTTTAATGATCCCCTTCCCCTTTGTTAAATGAATGTTCTTTTTTTTTCTTTCTTTATCTCTTTATATATATTTATAAATAAATGTTTTATTTTGAAATCCATCGTCTTGTGTCTGTTCTTCGTTGACTCCCTTGTGTCGCCTACACCATGTCACATAACATGTACACTGTCGCCTACACCATGTCACATAACATGTACACTGTCGCCTACACCATGTCACATAACATGTACACTGTTGCATGTAGGCAAATAGAATATAAGCATCCAAACAGATGAAATAGAAAATAAAAATATTTTCACTTAGCTATTTATTTTCTTATACAGACAGTTCTAAAAATGATGCAAATACACATCGAAATATTTAATAATACAACACTAATGCGTCAAAATATTTATTCCTTACCAGCATGTTTTTTCTTTTTAGTTAAAAAAAAAAGCCACTAACTTTCAAATATTCACCTTTTAAAATAAGGTATGAAGTTCTGGACCTGATGTTAATAGGAAAATGATTAGAAAAACAAGGACAGAGAGGGAAAGAAAGAAAATAACAGCTAATTTTACTTGGTGAAATTAGGCTTATGAAAGACTGACCGGTAAATAATTAAGAAGTGCACATAAACGTATAATGATTATTATATCATTAGATGAAGGGAATAATAATAAGAAAGAAAGACTCGTGGATTAACAGACATTTTGGTCGATAAACTGAAACTGACTGACAAACAGATAAATTAAGCCTAACACGGAAAACGATAAAAAAAAAAAAGAGACATGCAGATGACTGATTACCAAATTCGGGTATAAACACGTTTTCGTGTCAAACACGACTAGACACTTTTGTTTCGTTTTTTGTATTCGTCGCTAATGAACGATCCATTCAGCTCTCTCAACAAGGAGATAGAAAACTGCACTGTTAATGTTTCACAGGCATTAATTTGCCTTAAGTCTCGTTGACATTTTAAGGATCATGTTTCCTAAGACAGGCTGAAATCCTCACGAACATCATCCCTTAATATATGTGTCTCTTACTCTAGTAATTATCAACAAGACAATCAACAAATGATATAAACAATGATTTAAAAGAAACAGATAAATAAACAGCTTGATTGATTGCCGAAATTGTGAACAATCGGAAATATAGTTCTAAGGAATCTGGAGATGCAAAGTTTGGTTTATTGTTTTCCCACCTCTAACCTTAGAACAGACACGCAGATTCAAGCGTGTGAAGAGAGAAACAGATTTAAGTCGCTGACACGCTCTTTCGTACAGACATTAAGCCATTTACGAACATATTAAGATAAAGATTCAAACGATCGTGTGCGCTTGCGCAGAAAGCGAACACACATCGTCTGTGTCGTCTGTTTAAATTTCTGTCGTCCATTAGAAGATGCCTGCTTAAGTGATTAGTGGTTTCCTTTTGCTGGGTAAATGGAATTTGTCGGACTCCCTGGTTTTCTTCAAGATGTTTAAACTATCATTAGACCTATGACGTCATTTTGACACAAAACATTACAAGATGGACGATCGATGTCTGTATGTATGTTGCTACTATTATTAACATAACATAACATTTCCTATGTATAGTCGTTGTTGCTATAGTAAACGAAGATGTTGAGGGCTCATGTGGTAAAGACGCCCTTTGATTTAATACATTGATTTATTAAAAGTTGGCTCGAGGACAAAAATCAAACATTTAACAGTATATATATGTATTTAAATTATCGAATTTTTCAAACGCTACTACATGGGAGGCACGGTGGAGTAATGAATAGCGGCTCGGGGAGCAGAGTTCGAATTCCAGTCGCATCCATTACATTTATGCTAATACCTTTGGGAAATGGTATGAATCCTCTTCTCGCCCACCCCAGCTATGGGCAAATAGCAGGACAGACCGGGTTCTATAGCCTTGGATGGCAGCAAGATCTACTGCAGAAATAAATGGCAAACTACTGCGTCAGTCATGTATCGAAAGATATATGATCACCTAAGTGTATATCACACATGCCACATAACATATTTTACAAATATTTTTTGGCTGTGTGTCGCCTGCAATTGATCGATCCTAATATCAGTATAATTAGAAATGCTTAAGTAGAATAAATATCGTTTATGACACTTTTGGAGTCATATCATTGTGTGCCTGGAAAAAAATAATCAAAATATAATCAAATAACAAAAGATAAAATCGGAAAAAAAGAGAAAGAATGGACAAAGAATAAAAAAGGTTTCGATTGTTTCGTATTTTTGGTTTATCAACCCTTTGCAGGTTATTTAAAGCCAGAAAAAATTTTGATTGTAAGATTTTTATTTATTTAGATAATAATTATTTAGTGATAAAGTTTTACTAATTAACCCATGGAGGATGTAGAAGAGGTGTATCCATACCTTTCTCCAGGGTATTTGTGCGTAAGTGAATATAAAGAATCCAACTGGAATTGGAACTCGGCTCTCATATTTACAATTCCGAGCCATTATCCATTACACCAACCGCACATCCAAGCTTACAGCATCTAGTATTCGCAAGCTTTCACTCATCTCGGTACTGATCAGGCTCGACGTTGCTTAACTTCGGTGGTCATAAGGATACCGATGTTTGAACGTAATATGGCCGTAAGCCAATCAAAAATTAAAAAAAAAAAGGAAACTCTTCAAATTAAAAAAGAAAGAAATCCTGTCTTCATCTTTTTTCCTTTCTGCTTTCTTTGCATTACACAGAAAGAAACAAATGTAATACGAAAACCATCCGGGAAAGAAGGATAAAAGTATGGTAAGACATTGAATTAAAAAGAATGAATGAGAATGGAAGCGCATAGAAACAAGCAACTTAATAAGACAACTATAGCAGTGTCCCTTCAGGACGCGAGGGTTCATATCCCTTCGCAAACAACCAGCACTCTGAAGCTTTTAGTAAGATTTAACATTTTGCTATCCCTCTTAATCAATGTTCCTCCAATCATTTACACAAGCTCGTTAGGTAGGTTATTCGCTGCTTTTCTGTCTCTCATGGTTTCAGTATGCCCTGTGAGTATCAATTTTTCCAATCCGCCTTTCTTCTATATACGCTTCAGAAATTTCAACTTTATTCTTGTTTTTAAATACAAGTGCCCTTTTTGTTTCTATTGTCCCCAAAACTTCCTCTTTACTCACATATTTAGTCCATGGTATTCTCCCCATCTTTGTCTATTTAACATATTTCTGGTTTGGTTTGTTTTACGGCATATCAACCTCAGTGCGTTATTTAATGTCGACAAAGTTTTTATTGCTGGTAATATTTTTTTTTTCAAAAATGTATTGCTGGTAATATAATTTTTCTTCAGAAAATCTATTGCTGTCATTTTTTTTTTTTTCCAAAAATATATTGCTGGTAATAGTTTTTCTGGTATTAACACCTATTTTTACACTTTCCTAGTATTTTGAGCCCAGTTTAGGGGTTAACTATTGTCTATAGCGTAGTTTATCGTCATACCCAGGGCGGACCACATTTCTGTTGCTTCTTCATCTATGAGAATATTTTCATATAACAGGATCGATATAACATAACAATTTAGTAAACTTTTCTTGGTTTCTAAACAAAGTTTCCTGTTAATACTTTGCTTAGCTTTTAGAAAACATTTTTCACTGTTCCATTTCGCCATTCAACTACGGTGTGGAATTTTTGGTCCTCTGTTAAAACATTTCCTAAATATTTAATTTTTTGTACTTGATTTTGGCACCTCCAAATCGTAGTTCACATCTTTAATTTTTCCCATACATCCTGTCTTCATGCAATTAATGTTTTGTCCATTCTTCTCGCTTTCCCTTAATATTTTATACATTTTCAACTACAAAATACATAATCACGACTACTGGTTAAGCATTTTACCAGTTTTGAACAAGAAGTCATTTTTTATAGATTGACAGTTTACTACAATCTATGGAGAACTGAGACCAGTCTCTCTTAAGCTCAAATAAAATCGATTAGTTTGTCGGCCATTGCCACCGAGCGGACAGAAAAATTGTTACATCCTTATTCCAATGGCATTCTTCTGGAAGTGTCTTCTCACGAAAATTGGACTTTCCCCAGACAACATAGCACGGAACTCAGGGTTGGATATTGGGGATGTGAGAACAACAATACAAAAACCAAACACTGTGGAAAGGGATTATCAGTGGAATTCCGACCAACCATAGGGAGGTCGATGGATGATGATGCTATAGTTTTGTAGGAAGGTGGCTTCACACACGCGCACCTAATGAAATTATCCACCAGCGAACTGTGCTCAAATCCACTTTTTATCTCCGTAAAATTTCATCAAGCGTCTATGAATGCTATTTCGTGAGCACTTTTATGTCAGATGCAATTTACCAGAAAGTCACGCAGCTGGAATAACCTCCACCAAAAATATGGGTCTGTAAGTTTCAATCTCTAGTATTGCATAAACATCTCTGAAATCGTAGACCAACATAAAAAGAAAAAATATGAAGCATTATTTTTGGAGCATACCTTATAACTTAAACGGATAAAACAAACACTATGGACATAGAAAATAAGAGAGAGAGTTAAAAAAAAAAAGAGAGAGAGAGAGAAAGGAAGAGAGAGAAAGGGAAAAAGAGGAAGAGAGAGAAAGGGAAAAAGAGGAAGAGAGAGAAAGGGAAAAAGGGGAAGAGAAAGAGAAAAGGGGAAGAGAAAAGGGAAAATGGAGAAGAGAGAGAGAGAAAGGGAAAATGGGGAAGAGAGAGAGAGAAAGGGAAAATGGGGAGAGAGAGAGAAAAGGGAAAATGGGGAAGAGAGAGAGAGAAAGGGAAAAGGGGAAGAGAGAGAGAGAAAGGGAAAAAGGGGAAGAGAGAGAGAAAGGGGAACAAAATGACAGAAAGGAAAACTTTGTAAAATGAGAAGAGTCAAGTGATCAGAAAACGAAGCTATCAGGAAAGAAAAAATGTCGTTGAGCCACAGAAAAAAACAACAAACATCGCGTACTAAAATGTAGAGTCTTTTTGCAGACAATGTTTTCTTTTTCGGAAATACATGGGAAAGGAGGGACAGTACATGTAATCACTGAATTCCCATGGTTCCCAAGAAAGAAAAAGAAACCGAATTTGTAGAGAGGATGTGAAGATATGAACAAAACGAGTGGCAATGTTGGGAACGCTGATATGAGCAAACCTTCTGTGTCTCCGATTACCAAAAAAAAAAAAAGAAAGGAATGGTAAGAACGGAACAAAAAAAAACAATTCTTTTTGTCGAGGAATGGAAATGAAGAAGAAAATAGTATGATGTCGAGAATCTTATTTCAATATGATTTACAATTACCTTTTTTGTGTCCTGTGAGAAAGCTAGTTTTGTGTCGATCAGAACTTGATCGAAACTCCAGGGATTTCTCTAACAAATTATTTTTCCTTTTATTTTTCAAACTTTTAAGAATATAACTTAGCGTCGATTAGAATATGACTGAAATCTCTGTAAATCCCTCGTCAAAAACGAATGAAGAATTCAGTCTTGTATGTACGTTTCAGTCGTATATCATTCTTTTAACCCACCCTTAGTTCCGTCGGGTCATTTGTCCCGGCATTAATACCGTAGGGCTTTCAAACACCCCATTTAAAATATTATAGACATATCATTTAATTCAAATTTTCTCGTTATATACTTGTCGTACTTTTTAAGTTTTATAGGATAGATAAAAATAAAAGCAGGTTTTATTTGGAAACATCGATTTAAAAGGGCTAGTATTAAAAATTCTTTCTTGTTGTTTATTGCATGTGGAAATAAGAGCAAAATAAATTGATAGAAAGTTGCAAATTATTTAAAGAAATAATTACTACTACATTATTTTATTATTATTGTATAATTAAACCAACTTAAACGTCGTATCTCAAGATCTCATAAAATAAAAAAAAATATGTCTCCATTAGTACTAATTATCTCCCTTGGACTAACCTTTTGAAAAGCTAAAAATAGATATATAGATAGTCACGTGAACTGCCCGAGAGATCTTGAGGCGCGAATGTCAAATATCCTCTTTTGTTCCTGGCTTTCAGACAAGAAAGACGTACTTATTCAGGCTCGTGACAATCAACATAAGTAACAAATATATTTTATTTCAGATATCAAGTCCTTTACAAAGAAAACACATGCACAACTTGTATGAACATTTCACACATATTATTATATATATATATATATATATATATATATATATAATAAATAAATATAAAATCAAGTTATGATTAAAGTTTTTGTGGCTGTAAACTTATGTATGTAGAATGGGAGAAAATGGCAACTGTGAATTTTTATTTATACTTAGCTACTATTATACCGTGATCGAGCGGCTCTATATCGAGTCTGATTCGCTACCTCATCGTCACCGAGGCCTGTTGGAAGAGTTGTTATGACGTTTGTCTGATAAGGTAACTGTCCTGGTTTCAATTCTCGGTAGTGGATGCGCACTGCTGATGAGTCCCAAATATCGGACAAAATGGCCGTCCATTGCTTTCTGCATTCTGTTGAGCTTTCTTCTAGGCTCGAGGAATTAAATATAATTATCTCAAATCTTCCTAATAATTTCTATTATACCTTGATACTTTCGGAAGAATTTTTCCAAGTAAACCGTTTTTATATAACGTTTCAGTTGTTATATCGTCTTGACTTCTTTATCTATCACATTCAACAAGCATCTTTTATGGTGCATATGACATTCGTAATATGTCGATATTTATTCATATCACCTCCAGTTCATCTTAAATTACTGAGAAAAAAAACAATGGAGACTATAACCCATTGTGTCGTGTGCCGAGTGTAGTATTACTGCAAGTAAAATACGGTGAGTTCAATCCTCAATGGGTAAATATTATCTACTACACAAATATATTTTGCTTAACTTTAATATCGAGTTCGATTTGATATTTATTGAAGATTGATAGCCATACAGGAGATTTAACATTCTCAGTGTTTCCAGTATATGCATACCCATTCAACTTTACATGACTAAATCCTCTTGCCCGTTAGTTTTGTATGCAAACTTGTGAGTGAAAACCTTTGAGATTTAATACACATTCAACCACTCGCAGCAAATTCCTCAACATTCCATGCAAATATAAAAACATCACCGTGTTAAAAAGAACATTGGATGAAGGAATCGTTCCAACTCTATCATCGATATTTTATTCAATATTTGAATTATTTACATTATTTGGACTGTTATCCTCATCTTCATTGCCATATTCCACTGGGCTAAATAATCGATCAACTGTGGTATTTGATTTATAAGTTTCAGAATGAAAACAGAAGCTAAAAAGAAAAAAATAGTCTTTTTCTGTGAGTGATTGGATTCAAAAGAATCAATCATTACAAATTTCTAGAATCTGCACAGTGAGCAATTGGCTTGTTTGAAGCGATTTTCTGGAAAGGAAGAGAATTTTCTAAACCGTGAAGGCGGTAGTGATTTTATCGAAGAACAATAACTTCTAATGTTGTAAATAAGAGAGCAGCATACAATTGTGAAATTCTTCTGAGTATTGTGCCTTTAAGGCGATTATTTCTCTCCAAGACTTCTATCCATTATAGTTTTTCTAGCAGTTTTTCTCCCTCTTCTAAGGCTACCGACAATTCCATTCCGCTATCGATTCATAAGCTCGTCAGGTAGATGACTTACTTTCTTCTCTCAATTCTCAATGTGTCCTGTGAGTGTCAGGTTTTCCAAGCCCTCTTTCCTCATTATGCATCCAAGGAATTTCAGTTCCCTCTTCCTGATTCTGAACATGTGTTCTTTTTGTTGTCATTTTCTTTAAGACTTTATCGTTGCTTACTCGCTCCGTCCATGTAATTCCTAGTATCCTTCTGTAGAAACACATTTCTGTCAAGTCCAGCTTCTTATCCAAGAAGGAGGAGGTTGTACAGCATTCACTGCGATACAAGAGGATGTATATCCCATATCAATCTAACACTTCTTTGTTTTTAACGAAATGTTTCTGTTTCTCATTACTTTGCTGGGACGATAAATTCTTCTATGCGTGTATTCTCCAGGTTTGTCACGCTGAGACAATCAGTTATGTTCCCAACACCTATTGTAAGTAGAGCTTCCAACAAGTTCAATATATCGAAATATCAAAAACGCTTTTCAATTATACGGTTTTGTTTGAAGAGCGGTCTTCATTTACAGACACTTGTGCGTATAAATGCATAACAAATTGAATCATTTGGTGCCAATTAAATGTACTTGTATTAGAACAAAATCATATATACTCCACCATTACTGTGGTGTGTTTGAACACCCCTACAAAATTCTTAAATATTTAGCAAGTGTTAAGTCGAAATTGACGTAGCTTTCTGAACATTTCCAATAAATAACTACAAGGAGTTTCTGGTTTTAGTCGATAAATTTTCACCACATCTACGAGTTAATGAAACTCTTCGAACCAACTTATCGGACTGTTATCCTCATCTTCAATACTATATTTCACTGGGCAAAAGACGTTGGTTAGATCCAGTGACTAGACACAAAGAGTTGTGACTCCAATACAGACCACAGCAGTGGTGAACCAAAACTTGGAGAGTTGGGTTAAAAGGAAATAATGGATACATCCGGAAGAAGCATGACACGTGGAACTAGAACAATCTACCTCGGTGGACGAAGTAAAGGGTTCGTATCGAAATTCCAATCACCTGAAGAAGACTGGAGCGTACAACGGTCGAAACTTTGTGAATGTGGCAATGAAGATGGAGATAACTGTCCGAATAATGTAAATAATGCAAGTAATCATAACTCATCTCAGAGATATAGACAGATATATTTCATGCAATAATAATAACGCATTAGTATTTTTCATCCAATTAGAATTCTAATTAACAGTTTCTTCCTAGTATAAATATAAACTTTCTTAACGTTATTGGTTCTGATCTGGCATCTCGACTTCAGTTACTTTCCCGCCACCTTGACGTGACTTCCCTCTGTCTTTTCTGTATATATTTTCATGGAAACTGTTTACATGAGATGAGCACTCCTCAAGCGTACGAACTTAAACGTACTACTTGATTGGCAACTAGGTTTCATTGTTTTGCTGTTTGATTAGGCAGATGTGAACGTAAACTAAGTTTTATTCTAATAGTTCCTATAATATAGGACAGTATTCTAACAGTTCCTATAATATAGGACAGTATTCTAACAGTTTCTTTTCTTGCCGGTGGAACTATATTCCGGCTTCTTGATTACCTTCCACCTCCGATCTTATTTAATTTCAATGCCACATCTGTCGCCATCTTCTGTCTTGTTTTATGGTCCTTTCTCATCACTAAAGTATTCTCATTCTCCTTCACTCTCAGTGACCTTTGACGCCTTAGCGGCATTATCGCCTTGCTTGGGGTGAAATGATTTTAAAAAAAGTCAGTGTTGTTATAAATGGCCCAAATCAATTTGTCTTCTTTGAGATCATACTGTATTTATCATTAAAACAGTTACTCACATTAAATTAAAATACAATGATTAAAAAAATGAATATTTCTTTATATAATTTTACGTTAATTTAGAAAAAATATTTTAATCAAGTTTTTGACGAATTTAAAGTTTACCATTCAGTTTCGTCTGCTTCGTTCTATTGGACAGTTGTCTTAACACGAAATAAAGTTTACCTTTCCTCACTGCATATCAATCATAATCTGTTTCTATCTACCCTTACATAATGTATAAAACAAATAATTATCATCTACGTAAGTGACTTCTAAGCGTTTGTCGCCATTTTGTTTTGAAATGAAAGTTTCATTTCTCAAAGTTGTAACGATGTTCACAGACTTGAAATTAATAACGGAAAAATAAGCAGACACAGAAGGAGAGAAAAACAAACTCTTCATTGGTTTTCTGTTATACTACAAAAATAAAAACGAGTCTACTAATTTCCAAACGGTTTTTCTCAAAACAAGTCTTAACTACCCTGTAAGCAAAATTAAACCATATTTTTTTCACGTACCAGTCTAACCAACATGCCATACCACTGGAAGCATAAACCATGGAAATGAATGTCGTTTGTAAAGCAAGGTCTTCTTACGGGCACTCTCGAGTGTCATTTGCATTTCAAGAGAAGTAACTGTTGCGTGTTGATTTATAAGACGGATTAACTCTGTGGTTTCTCTGTTCGTGACTGTTTTTTATTGGTGAGCCGCTCAGGAAAACAGGAAGTTCTGAGCCCACAGGCTAACAGTAATGGCAAAAGAATGGCATCCTATATATTTAGATCTTGTCCAGTAAATTATGAAAAGGCGGATATATTTTGCTGGCTAACATAAATTATGAAAAGGCGGGTATATTATGCTGGCTAACATAAATTCAGCAGTGAAATTATTTTGTTTCATTGACTGGGAAGAAAACAGAGCGAGAGGTGAGGGAGGGAAGAAAACAGAGCGAGAGGTGAGGGAGGGAAGAAAACAGAGCGAGAGGTGAGGGAGGGAAGAAAACAGAGCGAGAGGTGAGGGAGGGAAGAAAACAGACCATGAGGTGAGGGAGGGAAGGGAGGTGAGGGGAGGGAAAAAAACAGACCATGAGGTGATAAGGGAAAAAACAGACCATGAGGTGAGGGAGGGAAAACAGGGAGGGAGGAGGTGAAAGAAAACAGACCATGAGGTGAGGGAGGGAGGGAGGTGAGGGAGGGAGGGAAGGGAAAACAGACCATGAGGTGAGGGAGGGAGGGAGGGAGGAAAAAACAGACTGGGAGGGAGGAAGGAGGAGTCTGGGAAAACAGACCGAGAGGTGAGGGAGGAGGAATAAAACAGACCAGGCAGGAGGGAGGGAGGGAGGGGGAATAAAACAGACCGGGCAGGGGAGAATAAACAGACCGGGGAGGGAGGAGGAGGGAATAAAACAGACCGGGCGGAGTGGGAGGGAGGGAGGGAATAAAACAGACCGGGCGGGAGGGGAAGGAGGGAGGAATAAAACAGACCAGGGCGGGTGGGAAGGAGGAGGGAAATAAAACAGACCGGGCGGAGGGGGGGAGGAGGAGGAATAAAACAGACCAGGCGGAGGGGGAGGGAGGAGGAATAAAACAGACCAAACGGGCAGAGGAAGGAGGGAGGAGGGAATAAAACAGACCGGGCGGAGTGGAAAAAAACAAACCGGGCGGAGCGGAAAAAAACAAACCGGACGGAGAGAGAAGAATGCAAACCTGAAGGGAGGGAAGAAAAAGAAAAAAAGAATACTGAGAGGGAATGTATGGTAGAAAATACAAACGTAGGAGGAAGAAAACAAAAAGGAAGGCAATAGATAGAAAGGTGTAGAAAAGGTAACAATGGATCCATAATCGACTGGAATAAACAAGTAGCAAGATAACGTCAATAAAATCGTATTGAAATGAAAATTTCATTACATGTACTCAAGGTCTCAGGGAAACTCATGGTAGACGGTTATTGGAGGCGGTTATTGTGTGAAGAGTAAGAGTAACGGGCGCAGATTATCAGGATATGTGGGAAAGATAACGTCTAGACTTAAAGAGCTTAAGATTTTAGTGAACGAGAAAGCATCCTCCTGGGATTCTGTTCCACAGAGGGACAGTTCTTTGGAAGACGCTATCCAAGTGGAATTTCTTCCTTACTAATGGAATACGAAAGGATTGTTGGTGGTTCGCCACAATGTACGCAAGGTGCAGGATCTTAGCTGGGATGGGGTAGATTTTAGGATACTAAAGAATGTAGATCGTTTGAACATTCTCTATGGCAATAACAATAGAGTAGTAAGAGGCTTGCAAAGTTTTGTCTGTAGGAAAGCGGTTTTTCGGTGGGATAAAATTCATTATCCACATGGCTGTGTAGACAAGTTGCAAATTTGTTTTTGTTTTTTTTTTTCTTTTTGAGGTATTGATTGTGCCCAGCCAGTTTTCCCCGCATTGAGTTATTAAAGCGAGGCCCTAGTCATCTGGATCTTTTAGAGATGCACTAGATATAACACGTAGATATATTTCACAGGTGATCTCGGACTATACTAGTTATATGTTAGGACTCGATAGCAATGATCAATGTTTGTGCTAACGCTGAAAACAAGCAGGTTCTCCCCGCTTGTAAGACTAGTGCAACAGGATCTCTCTACCAGTAATTCGCGCCGTCCTTAGTTTAAGTGATAAAAGAAAGGATCCCTGTGAGAGCATTTTGCAAATTGAATTTTCTCTCTTATCCAGAATAAAAGAAAAGAAACGGGGAAAAAAGAAGTATGAGAAATTAAACTAAAACAACAAATAGGTCTGGACGTCATTTACTATGTTAAGGCCACAACTATAGGACACCTAGTGAGAATCGAACTCACGACTCGGTGCTAATGTTCAGGCAGGTTGGCTCACGGAGGCGCTCATGGGTCTAGCCAGGTTTTGATCGCGAGAGAAAAATTACATGAAAATGGAGTGGGGTACATAATAACGAAATAAAGAAAAAAAGAAAAAGAGAAATCCATTTCTTCTTCAATTTTAATTGGTAGTAACGAGTTGCATGTAATTTCAGACCTCTTGACCTTCCGTTTTGTATTCTCCCTCTGATACATGTAAGTCGATATAGGTGTTAATGCATACAATAGAGTCATTTGAAAGTAGGTCAAAGTTAGAGTGATTACTGTTCATGAGGAGCACATTGTATAAGATTTTTGAGATTATATATATATATATATATATATATATATAAAATCGGTATCACCGCATGCAAGCAGTAAAACCACTAGGACACAAGGGGTTACATAGGTGTGGAAGAATCAGGAACAGAAAAATTAATGAGCGAGAAGAGAAAAGAATAATCAAGAGGACACTAGATTGCATTTAAATTTTTGCAGATTAAAGTTGGTTATGTAACTTTTTTTTTATTGAATTTATATTCTAGGTGGTATCTTCTTTCAATACCTTTTCATTTAGATATACGAATCTTGTAATCGAGCCATTAATGTTACAACGATTTTATTCCCTACACATACCGTTTATGTCACTAAAATATTTTATTCCTATCTTTCTCAAATAAACACAGTTGTTCTTTTTTGCTGACACAATTTTCTCTTTAAACTTCCCGACAGTAGAACTCTTTTTATTACTTGCTTCAGTGATAACTACAATCTTCAAAAACTTAAATGCAACGTCAATTGCCATCTTCTGTTGCCTTGATCTTCGTTCTTCTTTTATTATTTCTGTGCACAGTCGTCTCCCTTATTTTCACTCTTTTTAACTCCCTGCGTCTTAGAGGCATTCCTGCCTTGCTTGGTGTGAAATGCTTTAAAAAAAATCAATTGACCCTCGCCTCCTTTTTAAACCCTTTAATCTTTCAGTATCTGTCCATATTTCTGAGATGAGGTATTATGTAAACTATTTACATTATTCGGACTATTGTTCTCATCTTTCGTTTCGGCCGTTGTACGCCCCGGCCTTCTTCAGGTGGTTGGAATGTCGAACTGAACCCTTTATTTCGCTCACTGGGGTAGACTGTTCTAATTCCACGTGCCATGTTTAATGGATGTCAGCTATCAGTTATCTCCTGTTAATTTCCCTCTGAATGTTATCCACTGCCTTAATCGGGTGTTGAACTCACACTCTTTGGGTCCTGTCATTGGATCTCACCAACGCCATTATCCACTGTGCCATGTGTTCTTTAATCTTTCATTTAGCGTTGTCTTGTCTTCATTTTTCTTTTTTTCTTCTGATTTCTCAATAAGCCTGCAATTGCCTAGAAAAACAGAGTTCCAAATACCTACTTCTGCTACAAGATACTATTTATCATTTATTTCCCTTTTCCTTCTTACTTGCAGCTACAGCGTCTTCCCTTCATTTCAGTTCATATATATCTAGTGGCGTGCAAAGAGGGGATGCCGATGGGGCGTGGGCCTCGGGCGGCACTCCGAGGAGTGGGCGGTAATTCCGATGGAGTATATTATTTAAATATGGAATATTATTATTTTTTATTAATTTTTTTTCATATTTAAAATTATATTTTAATGTAATAAGAAATTTTAAATTGTTTTATTTTAAGAAGTAGATCTTTCTTTCAATTGTAGTATAGGGAGGTTTTGAGGAGTGTGGAACCACCTCTTAATTGCTGGTGTTCTCAAGTCCACACCGCCCCGGAGTGGTAGTACTTGTCAGGGTCCCAGCTATGGGCAAATAGTTACCCCCCCCCAACCAAAAAAAAGGGGGGGGTAAAAATCTATGAAAGTATAAGAACAGGTTTTAATACCAGTATTTCTTTTTGGAAAAATTATTACCAGCAATAAAAATCTTGTCGGCATTAAATAACCCATTGAGGTTGATATGCACTAAAACAAACCAAACCAAACCTTAAGGCAATACAAGTTTTGTTTATATCAGCTCCATACAGTTTATGCAATGGCCGTAGATAGAAAAAAAATCTGCTAGGTTAAACAGCAAGATGATAAACTAATGAAAAACACTGTTTCATTGAAGAAATTGAAGCACTTTAAGATTTCATGGCATTTGAATTATCACGTCAAAAAATTATTATTAGGTTTTCACTTGTGATTTTTTAATATTTTTCCCCAATTATTATTGAAATCTGCTCGGTTTGGATTTTTCATGTTCCATTTTCATAACGATGTTCTGACCACCATTGTCTCAAGGAATACACTACCATGTGGCGTGGAAGAAAAATAAGACATTTCTGCTTTTATTTCCATTTTTCCTACCGTTTCTTTTTTCTTTTCTCTTGCTCTCTACGCAAAAGAGGGTGGTTTCAATGATTTACAAATCCCTCCCACCTAATGAATCTCATTTGTTTGGCACAGAGTCAGATAAGAAGGGAAATTTGTGATGTATCAAATCAACATTCAAAATTTGAATTCTTTTCTTTTCTGGGCACGAAAACTAATCATCCCAGGTGTTTCATTCTTTTTAACATCAAATCCCAGGTGTTTCATTATTTTAACATCAAATCCCAGGTGTTTCATTCTTTTTAACATCAAATCCCAGGTGTTTCATTCTTTTTAACATCAAATCCCAGGTGTTTCATTCTTTTTAACATCAAATCCCAGTCGTTTCATTCTTTTTAACATCAAATACCAGTCGTTTCATTCTTTTTAACATCAAATCCCAGGTGTTTCATCCTTTTTAACTAGGGAAAAATATGCATAAAACTATTTATCTTTCTTTGTCTTCTGTATGTCCTAATAAACAATAATTGAGACAGCTGCATTCTACTATGGTCTGGAATGTTAATAACAGAATGTCTGTGCTCGCATTGCATACGTTCTCATTCTTTATAACGTCTCATCATAATATATTAGGAATAAACTAACTACAATGTGTCCCTAAAGTGTGGACATATAGGAAATCTCTAACTATTTTCTTACCCCACAGATTAAACATGGAAATCATATTTAAGATGTTATTTGGTATATTCCAATTCAATAAAATATTGCTAAAAATTTAATTTCTTGAAAATATGCATTTTTGCCTATGTGTCCAGACTTTAGGAACACCCTGTAGAAGTGACTTGCTATGGTACAGAACACTCAAATGGTCGCTTTTATATCTTATACGATAAACGTCATTTTAGTGCATACCCATGTTTGTGCAGAAAACATTGAAATTAACGTCTACCGGCTTGGATCATAGAAAGTAAATGTAACACTCGGGTTTGTATGATTTAAGATAAGAGATATCTACTCAAATAATTATACCCACTATGTAATGGCTGACTGCTCTTGTCCGAGCATGCCTTTCTACTAGCGCGGTTAACCAATGTCTGTCTAGGCATATTTTCTGTTTATTCAACACCCACAGAGATAAACTGTGGTTTATACTGCAATTATGCTGAGTTACTGTTTCTGGGAGAGAACATATTATCTGGCGTGATCAACAGTATGAACAAGGCCAGTGCGCTAAAAACCCTCCGTCACGATGACTTGTGACTTTGTGCTAGCATCGGCGATTATCAAATACTTCACAATCCGTGGTATGATTTTCAGGTTATTTCCAAAGGTGCACCATCTAGAAGTTACCTTCCTTACATCCGAGACCGGATCTTAGGGTCAGAAAGCGAAAGTTCAAGCCAGTCGACCACCCGCTCATTATAACTTCTACAAGAACTGTTAAACAAATAAAAATACTGCCGAATAAAAATTATCCTTTAATAGTTCAAATTAAAATATGTTTTACCATATATATAACGAAAAGATTTACTTTAACACACACGAAGAAACAAAACCACTCTAGTTTCATTTTTCAAATTGATTAGATTTGGGTTGGGTTTTTAGGGCGTGGGGTGAGGGGCTTACATTAAATTTAGTTTAAAGCGTTAATTTACGCTTAAATATGCAAGAAATA